GTCTTCCAATATACATTAACGCAAAAGTATACTAGTTTTGACATCATGAAAAATACATCTAACAGAAAGTTGCACTCACATACTCCCTCTTTTTTATGATGACAAAAATTGAGATGATGTGTTTCGTGACGTGTTGTGTCTTCATGAAGACTCTTCTTGAATATATGCATCCAACTTTATCTTGTAAATTCTTCTCCCCCTTTGAAAACATCAAAAAAAAGAAAAAGAAAACCATGAGAACTATCTTATATCACATACAAACTAATATATCACACAGAGGTGTTTGAAAAAATAAATCATCAATACCAGAGCACTCACATAGAATGATGTACATATTAAAAAAAAAGCTCAAACATAAATAAAATAATATAAAGCAATAATATATCATGGTTGCCACAACTTATGTCAAATAATCATAAAATAAACGTAAAAGATGAAGGATACATTGTAATCAAAATCTCTTGAGTTGCAACAAAAGTGACACGATTATGTAACATATGCTTTTGATGCTCCTGATATGTTGCACACGCGTGTGCTCTGGCAAGGCGATATATTAAAGAAAGTTATTTAAATATGAATGAATATTGAATTAATGGTCTAGGAAATGAAGGATTTAATGAAAGAAGAAATTATCTAATTTAGGAATAAATGGCTTAATGAAAGAAGGAAAAGTTTAATGAATTAGTTTAGGGATGGATGGCTTGTCTTGATGAAAAAAGTGGCGCCAATATTCTAAAATTAAGTTAAATTTAGTAACTTTTTTATGACTTTCCAAAACAAAATATGGTCCGAACAAATTTTCATTTCAATTATTGACTTTCAAAATATCCAAAATCAAGCTTAATCACAAATCAAACTTTCTATACTTGATTGGCCTACAAGAATATATGCAAAATCAGTGGTCATTGATAAGGAAATGTAATGGTATGAGATTTAAACTAAAAAGAGAATTACATAAATGACTTGGGCATAAAGGGTAATAAAAAAATTGGAACAAAGCCCAAATGAACTTGTCACTAGAAATGGAACAAAACCCTAAAATGATCAACAAAGTCCCACATCTTGGTACCTCGACCAAGGATGCCACAACCATCAATCCAAAATCTCTAAATGATGCATGATAAAAGGATTGGTCAAGATAACCAAACACAGTTTAAATTGTCTTTTAAATCTTAAATTTTGGACCTTGACCTATGCATGAAAATGAAGTCTTATGACCAAATGAAATAATTCAAAGTGGGGCAAAATTGAGGGTATGACAGTCATAATTATCATTGCACCCTTGCTAACCCTCATGATGTCTCTATCTCCATCTGAGCGGAACGAATAACCATTCGCTTGAAAAGTACCTAGAGAAATCTAATTCTTCCTCAATTCTATAACATAACACACTTCACTCAATGTGTGCACGCCACCATCCAAAGCAATTTTGGTTTTCCCTTTTCCAGTGACGACACAGGTTTTATCATCACCTAAATAGACAAATCCAAAGTCACCTGATTTAAAAGAGTAGAACCACTCCTAGTGTGACATCATATGGTAAGAGCACCCCAGAATCAAGAATCCATGCATCAGTGCACTTTGTAGATGAAACACAAAACAAATCTTCTTTATTGTAGGAACAACTAGACAGAACTATATTTGTTGAACTATTGTTGCCTGACTTGTTTGGACAGTCCCTGTTCCAATGACCAATTTTATTTCAACCATAACATTTTACTATTTTTCTATCCTTGGACTTGAACTTATTTTTCTTTCCAGTACCCACTTCTTTACTCTTGCTTCTGCCACGATCTTGACCTCCCATCGCAAACAAACCTTCACATAAACTTCCTCCCCTTTCTCAACACTTTGGCGATGCTGCGTGTGTTGCAAAAGAGTAAAAGAAATATAATTCAACGTGATTGTTTTCTTCCCATATGTGAGAGCGGTCACCAAGTGATCATAAGAACTTGGTAAAGAGCATAACAAAATGATGGCTTTATCCTCATCGTCGACCTTCACATCAAGCCGTGTCAAATTAGCGAGGATGTTGTTAAAAGCATTGACATGAGTCTGCAAATCGCCTCCTTCCTGCATCTTCGAGCTACAGAGACGCTGCTTCGCGAACAATTTGTTCATTAGCATCTTGGACATGTAGTGATTTTCCAATTTATCCCAGACACCCTTCGAAGTTGTGGGGTCCAGGATATGATTCATTACTCAGCAGAAGCGTCTTCTCCTTCATCTCGTTCCATTCATTGGTTGCAATGCCTGCCGATTTCTCATCATGAAGCGCCTTCTATAAACCTTGTTGAGCCAACAAATCCTTAAGTCTCCTTTTCCATAAACCAAAATTGTCCGTTCCGCTAAACCGAGTCACTTCAAATTTTGCACCTCCAGGATTAAGCGTCAGATGATACCAATTGTTAGAACAGTAGCGCGAATACAGATTTGAGTAGAGAGAAACACACAAAAGTTTTGTTCGCGCAATTCGGCTAATTTGCCTATGTCTGCAACTGTAAAGTAGCTATAATTCCCTATATTTATGTTTTATGAATTTCATTGGATGACAGTGTTATATATATATATATATATATATATATATATATATATATATATATATATATATATATATATATATATATATATATATATATATATATATATATATATATATATATATATATATATATATATATATATATATATATATATATATATATATATATATATATATATATATATATATATATATATATATATATATATATATATATATATATATATTATACTAGATTTTAGTTTTATCTAAAGTCCTAATCCTTTGTTTCCTTCAACAAACTATTATTTCTATTCATAATTATTTCAACAGTATGAGTTATACTCTCAACAACCTACGGTTCTTTCAACAATATGAATTATACTCTAAACAGTTCATAATTATCTCAACAAATTATAATTATTTAAACAATATAAATTATGCCCAACAATTATGTATCTACTTATTCTTCTGTAGTTACTTGTTCGTCTTCTGTGAGACCTACTCAAACGCTTAGTGATTTTTCCAAGAAAAAGCTGCAATTTATGGGTTGTTCTTCTGCAAATTTAGAATAATATGCTTAGACTTCAGAAGTTAGAAGTTTAGACAGTTTTTTTTTTTTTAATTTGAAAAAAAAAAAGTATGGATAGTTTGTGTCTAATTTTCTTTTTTACTAATGCAAAAGGACACATTTTAGAATATTTTTTAAGGAAATCCTTCTTTATCTGATTAATGCTTGCTATTAGAAATCCTTCTTTATCTTTTGTTCATTCCAGCTGGATTATGGCCATTAGAAATGTGGTTGCTGCTAAAGATGTCAAAGAAGCAATACTTTAGGAGATTCCCTCAACTAAAATTGATGTCATGGAGTTAGATTTTAGTTCAATAGTATCTTAATTCAGTTCATGACTGATAGTGAGACATTACTTCAACTTTACTAACCTTTTGTTATTTTAAAACATCAATTATTTGTCAGATTATGTTTTACTGATTCTTTTAATGCTTAGACGGAGAAAATGTGATCCTTATGTTTTTATGTGATATAATTTCGCAGGTCATTTTTTTTAACACATTTTTTGTTGCTGTGAGTCTTGGAGAAGATATCAATCTTATTGATGAGAGGCTTGAAAAGCTTTTGTATAGTGGGGGCCAACTTGATACTAAGGAGCTAGAAGGAAGCTTTATGATATAAAACGAAGCTTTAGTTTAATTAGTCATCTATTCATGCAATGCACAAAAATGTTATATTAAAGTAGTAATAATGATGAAATATGCATAAAATTAATTTTTAAACTAAATTAATATATTATCTAAAATATTTGTCACTCTAGATTTAAAAGTAAACGAAATAAAAAAGAGTAAAATAAATATAAAAATAATAACTCACGCATGTATGATTTTAGGGCAAATGATATAGATTTATTATTGATAGGAAAAGTTTGATGAAATTAAAAAAGAAATTGTAATAGATCAGTAACACTTATTTTAAATTATGAAACACTTCTTTGTAAATAACATTTAAAGTAGTATTTGTATCTTGACTCTCATTCCTAGTTATATCAATAACTTCAAATTGTTTTTTTGAAGTAACTCTTAAAATGACAATATATAATTATCCAAATATAAAAATGACAATTGGACTCCTTTACATTAGGTATTTGCAAAAATTACTCACATCGCGTAGGATAAATACCCGCAAAATAGATACGATCTAGGGATGCAATTGGCAGAGTTTAGGTAGGATATTATATTACCTGTCCTCATATCTGCAATTTGAAAAAAAATCCATGTACCCTATCTCATAACCACTTGGGTGCCAAAGAAAGAACTTGTACATGTCCTATGGGTACGTAAGTACTCCTACCGTACTCGTTACCCACATTCTTATAAATAAAAAATAAATCAATTATAAAATATATCATTTTAAATTTTTAAAAATATTACAAAGTTTATGAAAACTTTATTGTTGAAATAAACGAACACTTATATTAAATACATAATGATTTAACATTGATATATTTTTTAAAATTTATAAGCATACATTTTTATATAATAATATAAACTAAAATATATAAAATATAAATTAAATTACATAAATATGTATTGTGTGGGTATAGAGTGAGATGGATATCAAGATACTCATACCCGCTTATATTTTGTGGATAATTACCTGAAACCTGTGCTCGTATCCATTTTTGCTGATTAGACCGGTTATCTCCACTGGTTTTTGAATTTGACCAATTCAACCAGTAGGTCCGAGTCAGTTTATTTTTTAAAACACCGGCATGATTTTTTTTTTAATGGAACAGTTTTGAAAATGAGTCCTAGAAACGTATTAGTCACACATAACCCAATAAAAAAATGTATTAAAAAGAGTAGTAGTATATTGTAAAGATATCTTGAGTGAAAAAAGATTTATCCTATAATTTAAAATATTAGTTGACATCTATTTCTTTCTCCACAAGTTAATAGTTTCATCTTAAACTAAATAGGATGACATAAGATTCCAACTAATTCTCATATGATTAGGCATTGCTGCTACAAAGCGAAGTACATCATGCTGCAGGGAAAGTGAAGGGTCAGGTTCTTCTGAACTCTTTTCTAAAACATGAAGAAACTTAGCAACATTGGGGAGTGCAAGTTCTCTGCAGTGGAGATGCAATAGAGGAACCTTAGATAAAACGCTTCCCTTCTGAACATCTAGACCTTCTGGTCTCCGCAACTTGTATGGCTTTCCCGTTGTTGGGTCGACATCAACTCGTGCCATTTGTTTCCATCGGCTGTGCACAAACCACCCGTACTTATAGTCACCTACTATCGGTGTTCCAAGAGCTTCAGCACAATGGACACGCAACTGGTCAAAAGGGAGCAGAAATCACATTAAGGAACAAGTTGCTTTGACTTATACAAAATCACTAATTGATTGAAATTCAAATGATTCTCGCTAAATTATGTAGGATCCTCGTAAATTTAGTGAAACCCATTTGAATTTCAACTAAGTAGAGTGTGTTGCTAGCATAATTCTTGAAATAGGGAATAATAAATAAAAAAACACACATTCCAAAGTTTATTTAACCTAGTACATGTTTGAAATTGCAGTGAGTTTAACGAAACTACATTGAATAGCTTTTGTAAACAGAGCAGTTCACTGTTTTTCTTTTTTTGTTAAACTCACCAACAATCCCAATTGTTACTTCAGTGGCGACTTTATTTTTGACAAGGACAAGACATGCAGTAAACAGATAGCTTAGAGCAAAATAGGTAAAACATAAAGCCTGAATCATGCCAATGCTTTAATCCCAATTATAAACACCTTTGGAACTTTTCCCTGTGATGAATTAATAAGGGGCATGTAAGTGCTTATATAGGTTTATCTTATAACATAAGCACTTGGGTGATTATGACATAAGCACCTGGGATTTTAGGATACTAGGTGTCTTGAGTCTTGACATTGTTTTATGTTCGGTGCTTGAGGAATCAAAAAAGCAAGTTCCTTTGTAAGGTTTAGGAATCATTTGGAAGATAAACCTAAGTGCTTATATAGGTTTAGCTTATATAGGTTTATCTTATAACATAACCACTTGTGTAAGTGCTCAATTTTTTTTTTATAATAATAGCTTATGATATGTCATAGAATATTTTCAATTTATTTCAATAACCTCCCCAAAACAGCATATAGAAATGACCTATAAGATACTTATGCAGAGCTTACCCCATCCCTTCATCAGGCTGTAGAATCCATATACAACAGTGTTATCAAATTGCGGCCATGGCGGCGCCATGGCAGATTGCAATTGCAGAAATTTAACAAAGTGCCATGAAAAAGTTGCGGCATTGCGGATTTTGCATTGCCACACCATTGTGGCCGCCACAAGTATAACACTCATGGCGATATGGCGGAAATTGCAGTTTTGTTTTAAATCTGAAAATTCTTGTCTGGATATTTTTTACCAAACCAGTAAACAGGCCCAAGAGAATTATAATTGTGATTAAATAATAATAATCATCATCTAATATTAATAACTACTCTATTTAAATATTTAGAAAACCAAAACACTCTACAACCTTTCCATTCTCCACATTTCAATCTTTCCATTCTTCATATACTTTTCTTCTTCTACCTCTGTTCCGCTTCTCTTCTCACGCAACTGTCTAGGTATTCTTCTTCAGATTTGTTTCTCTTCTATTGCTTTATTTGTTTTGTTTCTTTTCTTTTATATTCATCACCACTACTCTCTTTTCTATTCTACCGTGTTGTTTCTTCTGTGTTCTACTTGAGTATCCCTTTCTCTCCAGCTCTGTTTTTTTAGGGATATTATACAAATAAGTTTTTATATGGTAATCGGCAAGCACTTAAGTTGTTTACATAAATTCCCTAATAAAGTGAGGAAGGAAAATATGGAAAAAGGTCAAACTAAAAGTATAATTAATAGGATGCTATAAGTTACAATATCAGAATTTTATGGTGGATTGAAGTTTAAATTAGGCTAGGAATGATATCAACCTCAAGTGAATTTATATTGGGATGGGGATTACATATACCTAACAATAGGTTGCCTAAGGTAGAACACAAGCCAGGGCTTTGTCGATACAAAAGGTTGACTCGGTGAGCCAACTGTTTTAGTGATTTCAAAACTAATGATATTCTAAGATAAATTTAAGTCCTAACTAGAAAATCATGTCTATATCCTTTCTTTACAAGCACAGTTTAGTTGAACAGATAATTTAAAGCATCAATGAAAATACCTGATGCTTGCGATAAGTTAGTGGACGCAGCTCAACCCATGAGCATCCATTTATCTTTGGACCAAGCACCCGATACTCAGTTACAGCCTCTTGGTGAGGTTCTATACTCGAATGATGAGCTAACATTACCCTCTCAGTCTTCCCATCATTTATAAGCACCTGACATAACATCGCATATATAAACACAATCAATAACACATTAGAAGACAGCAATCATATTAAGCATGTTACAAACTATCACTGGACCTAAACACACAAAGGAAAAAGAGAAAGGGTGCAAACCTTAGAAAGAGGAGCATGGATTATGCCTTCCTTCTCCTTGGGAGTCCCTATGACCAATGCCCAATATCTTTGATATGTAGCTTCACATGCATCATTCCATGCCTAAAATAGGCCAGGGAGACATAAAGTTCAAGTGTAAATATAAAATTGTTGTTGACTTGACAGTGTCATGAAAGACTGGATAATGCATTCACAAGATAAACGATGTGCACGAAAACAGCAGTTAAATACTTGCATGTAGAAAAGGCACCTTACAAGAAGATTTTGCATTATTTATGTTACTGAATAACCATTGAAGGTGAGATACACTATTTTTTGTTCTCCCCAGTAAAAGGATGCCACTGCTCTCTCTGTCAAGACGGTGCACCTGGAAGAGAGGAAAAAAAACATAAGAATTGATTTGATAGGACCCAAACTGATATTAAATGATTAAGAAGTTTTGTATCTGGTGTTAAAGGACTAAGATAGCAAAGGTTAGCAGCTTGGCGCTAAGCTTCTTACAAGATGAAGGAAAAGTAAATACAAAAGCAGAATTTCCTTTGACTAAGCTTCTTACATGATAAAGAAAAAGCAAATACGAAAGCATAATTTCCGTTGACTGAGAGAGAGCCAAATCCACTTCTTAGCTGAAACCTCGAATACCCAATTGTAAATGACCCAAATGCCTTTCCAAGTCTGTTACGCCCTCTAATTCTCAAATCAATTCCCCCATCCCCATTATGCCACGTGTCCATTCTGTTATACGCCCTATTTTCTCAACTCCAAATCCTATTGTGCCCCCTTCCTTGATTAATTCATATCCTATTACAGACCCATTTAAGCATTAAGCACCAACCATTTCTACAGCAGTTTCCACCTTTGCCTCATCTAGCACTTCTTAGACCTCATCATCTCATTAAACAAATTTGGGAGCCAAGTTATATTTTTCTCTCCTAGACATTCCCAAAATTCCCCACAGATTTTAATTTTTCATCTAGTTAAAATGAATATGTCAGCAAAAGCTATATGAACAGATATTCATTTATTGCAGGACGATTCATTTACCGGAAAATGCAAACCAAATTGATTCGCATATCATAGCAATGTTAATGATGTATAAGAGAGTAGTTTACCAGTTTAGGACCCTCGTCATAATCATAGGACAGTGCTGCAGCTGCCAATCCATCCATACTATTATGAATTGGAAGATTCCCCTAACAAGATGACCAGCAGGAAATCAAATCCCAGAACAAACTCCAACTTGCTTAATTTGTAGAATTTAAAAAAGACATTCAAACCTTAACCGGCAATTTTGGAGGTTTATTCAGCAAAATAATCGCAGAGTCCTGAATAGTCAATAAATACAGGATATATTCAAATGCAATTGTAGAATAAATAAAAAGTAACAAAAGCCCGTAACATGAGATGAAATGAAAGACATATTACATACTTTATACATGACAAGCCTCTGTAGATACTTAATTTCATCAGCATTTGGATACAGTGTTCCACTTGGTATAGCATCATATCTTTTGGAAATCCTAGTTTCAGCAATTGATACCGGAACATAAACCCTAGCACCGGGTTTCATCACATCATTAGGTCTAATCTGTAATTAAGCTGCGTGGTTGTATTATTATTATTATTAAAGCTAAAAAACAAACATGTAGACGAAATACCTTTCGCATTTGGTCATCCATTTGCACCTAGATTAGAAAATCATGAACAAAATCACGCATTTATAGTTATAGTTAAGCTTAAAACATGATATAATTATAAAAATCGTAGATACTTACAAGACCTTGTCTGAAGTGAGACTCGACGATGGAACCTGAAGTGCCCTTGAAGTAATGCTTAATCCAGTTGACAGCAGTAAAACGGTGAGTGTGTTGAGGAAAAGGAGGGAGTGACAGTAACTGTCTGGGTTTGAGAGGTTGTTTAGGTAGATCCAAGCTAGCGACGTTGTTTGAAACTCTGATTACTTTATCAGCAGAAACGGGTTTTGGGGGACGAATTCTAGAGAAGTGTCTCACTAGCAGCCATGAGCAGCCATTGTTGGTGCTCGTCAGTTTCAACATTTGTCTCCGATAATCGCAGCAAGATCGCGGAGGATGAATCAGCAGCGTCATTGATTGAATTACAGATGCATATTGTGCTAGGTTAAACTAACAAAGAAAAGTATATTAACTTTCAAAAAGATGATTTTCAAGCTAATCAAAAATTAAAAAATTGTTTGCGGAAGAATTTCGGTAATTTGTGGCCTAAGATTGCTCAATTTGTGTATTAGTTCAAGGAATTTCTTAAATGCAATGCACCTTATATGTAAAATTCTAAAATACTAATTAATTTTTTTGACATGTATTTTAGAATTCATTTTATACACACTCATTATAGCCAATTTTGAGTGATGTCTTACAGGTTGATTTAAGTTTTGAACGGGATTTTAAAATTTGCATGTTAGATATTTATTTGATAAAAAAAACAGAGCCACGTGATTACATAATCATACTTGTTTTTTATTACAAACTCTCACCAAAAACTCTTTCATTCTTAATCTACATTTTCACTCTAAATTTTCAATTTTGTAGTTCATCACATCAAAGGGAGGAAAAGAAGTTGGAATTCCAGATAAAGATCATTTATTTGAAACCTCATTGTTCACATTAATCTTGTTTTCTGTTTGAAAAAACAATTGTTTTTTTCAAAAATGTATCTCCGGAGCGAGTATGAACTTTTTCGAAAATTCATTTTGGGTATCACTCTGTGCTCATTTTTTTCAGCCTGGTTTACAACAATAGCGCTTATTTATTGTTTTGTGGTAATTTTTTTCATTAGATATGGTGCACCTCGATATTTTCCTCAAACAAGTTGTGTCTTCGAATGTTAAAGGTGTTGTTGTGAAGGCGGTATATGTTAGCAACCAATTTAAAAATAAGCAATAGATTGAATGTCGTGATCACATGCTTCAATGAATTCGTATAAAGGCCTCCAAACTAGGATTTTGTGTTATTATCGAAAGGTCCGATAATGGTTCATATAGAAGATGCGCTTTTGTGACAGTGACGTGCAAAAGAAGCAAAAAATATAGACATCTCTCCGAAATTATAAACGAGATAACACCGGTTCAAAAAAATGTGAGTGTCCCTTTAAAGTGCGTGATTATATGTTGGCATACAAAAACTGGACATTTAATGTCATATGTAGTTTGCATAACCATGATTTGTGTGAAAAGTTAGTCGGTCATCCAATTATGTGTCGGCTCATGCTGAAAGAGAATGAATGTGTTGCTAACATGACTTTGAATTTGGTTCAACCAAAAAAGATACTTGCAACATTGAAATGGAAAAGACCTGAAAATATCTCAAATATCAAGCTAGTGTACAATATTCAGTATTAAACTAACAAGGCGCTTAGGGAAGATAGAACTAAAATGCAACAACTCTTGAAACTGTTGGATGATAACAATTATGTGTCTAGGCACCGAACATGCAAGGATGGAGTTACTCTAGAGATATATTTTGGGCTCATTTGGATTCTATCAAGTTGTTTAACACGTTTTCTATTGTATTCATATTTGACTTAACCTACAAGACCAACAAGTATAGACTTTCGCTATTGAAGATGGTTGGTGTAACACCTTTGACGGTAAAGCCTCATATATAGATGTGCTCGTTTCGATGATGTCAAAACTTAGCTCCATAGAAGAATATATGTTGGACATTATCACCATGTTGCCTAAACCCATCTTAGACGCATCACAGTACACCACAAACGGTTCACTCGGAGTCGGTAACACTAACACCGGTGTCGTAGTCAATTTCTTCTTCAATTCCACAAAACTCTCTTCACAAGTGGCATCCCACACAAAAGCCTGATTCTTTCTCGTTAACTAAGTCAACGGCAACGCCAAAGTAGAAAACCCTTCAATGAACCTTCGATAGTACCCTGCTAAACCCAAAAAGCTTCTAACTTCAGTCGTTGTCTTCGGCGGTTCCCACTGCAACACCGCACTCACCTTAAATGGATCTACCGAAATACCATCTCCAGAAATAACATGCCCCAAGAAACTCACCGTCTTCAACCAGAACTCACACTTAGACAGTTTTGCAAATAGCTTATTATCCTTCAACACTTGCAAAGCAATCCTCAAATGTCCTGCATGCTCTTCCTCGGACTTAGAATAAATTAAGATATCATCAATGAATACAACAATAAACTGATCCAAATAAGAATGGAAGATCCGGTTCATATACTCCATGAACACTCCCGGCGCATTCGACACTCCAAAAGGCATCACTGCATATTCGTAATGTCCGTATCGAGTTCTAAACGCCGTCTTCTGAATATCACCTTCCTTCACTCTAATCTGATGGTAACCCGACCTCAAATCAATCTTGCTGAACACACGAGCTCCCACCAACTGATCCATTAAATCATCAATCCTTGGAATAGGATATTTGTTCTTGATGGTCACTTTATTCAACTGCCGGTAATCGATGCACAGACGCATACTAATGTCCTTCTTCTTCACCAACAACACTGGAGCTCCCCACGGCGACACACTTGGCCTGATAAACTTCCTATCCAACAACTCTCCAATCTGAGACTTCAATTCAGCCAACTCCACTGCCGACATCCTGTACGGCGCCATAGATATAGGCCTCGTACCAGGTACAAGATCAATACTAAACTCAACTTCTATCTTCGGAGGTAACTCTGTAATATCATCAGGGAACACTTCCGGAAACTCATTCACCACTGCCAACTCTTCCAATGACGCTTTGCTGTCAACCGATAATGATGCAAATAAAGCAAACATTTTAGCCTCATCCTCCAACAAAATCCTCAACTCCTTACCAGACAAAGAATCCGCCAATGCTTCTTCCTCTGGAGAAAGAAACAACAACACCTTCCAAAAACAATCAATATACACTCGGTTGAACTCCAACCAATTCATACCCAGAATAACATCCAACTTACCAAGAGGCAAGCAAATCAGATCCACACCAAAATCTCTATCGAAAATAGCCAGTGGACACTTCAAACACACCAAAGAAGTAGTCACTTAACCAATAGAGGGAGTCTCAATAGTCATCCGCCGCTCAAGAGTAGTCGGCTCCAAACCTAACCTCTTCACACAATCCACAGAAATGAACGAGTGGGTCGCACCCGTATCAATCATAGCAGACAAAGGAACATTATTGATGAAACAAGTACCTTGGATAGAACAATCATCACTAGCAGCTTGAGTTCCCACCACCGCAAACACCTTGCCACTGGTCTGAGGCACCTGAGCTGGCTTCGGCTTTTCGCAATGCGTACTGATGTGGCCCTTCTCACCACAGTTGTAACAGGTAGGCATAACAACTCGGCAATCAGCCATCACATGACCCGATTTACCATACTTGAAGAACTTCTTTACTTCATGAAAACAATCATCAGCACGATGACCCATGCCACCGCACCGGAAACACTTCACACCAGTAGACACTCTTCTTTCTCTGGGCTTTCTATCAGCAGCAGCCTTAAACTTCCCCTTATCAGTAGGAACACTGTAAGGAGTACCACCAAACCTTTGCTTACCCTTACAATCATTATCATAAATCATGCTCCTGCTTATCAGCTTAGGATAATCCCTGATCTTATGACAAGCTATTCCCATCTTCACTTCCGAACGCAGCCCATTCTCAAACTTCAGACACTTGGAGGTCATCGCTCCATCAGTATTGTAATGGGGACAATATTGCACTAGCTCCTCAAACTTGGCCGCATACTCAGCCACCGTCATACTACCCTGCTTCAACTCTAGAAACTCGATCTCTTTAGCACTTCGGATGTCCTCCGGAAAATACTTTTCTAGAAAACCAGTGCGAACAACATCCCAAGTAATTGGAGTTCCTGCAGTCTCCCACCTCTGGTGACTGTTGTCCCACCAAGCTTTAGCTTCTCCCTCTAACATGTGAGTACTGAACCTCACCTTCTGTTCATCACTGCACCCCATCGTGCTAAAAATCTTCTCAATTTCCTTAAGCCATTTCTGCGCCGCTTCAGGGTCAAAAATCCTTCCTTGAAACGTCGGCGGCTTGTTACTTTAAAACTGCGCCAAATCCCTGAATTGCGCACCTGCAGCGTGGTTCTGATTAGCAACCACCTACGTCATCGCTTGCATAGCTGCAGCCAATGCAATATCATTCCTTCCCGCCATACTGCTCAACAACAACAACGTTAGGTTCACAGAAAAACAAACAAGCTCTATCCTAAGGACAGACTCAAAACACTACACTGGCCGGACGGACCGACCTGCTCTGATACCAGCTTGTAACACCCTGTTCCCGAAATAAAATAAATGCAGTTAAATAAACAATTATCAGAGTTTCACACCACAACTCGGGATGTCACAGAATAAAGCAAACAAAACATCTTCATTAAATGATATCATCAATAATAAACAGCGGAAAATTCGTCATCATATATATATATATATATATATATATATATATATATATATATATATATATATATATATATATATATATATATATATATATATATATATATATATATATATATATATATATATATATATATATATATATATATATATATATATATATATATATATATATATATATATATATATATATATATATATATATATATATATATATATATATATATATATATATATATATATATATATATATATATATATATATATATATATATATATATATATATATATATATATATATATATATATATATATATATATATACATATAACCATCATATACATGTCATATACATCATCCTTGGCCAACTGCCCAAAATATACAAGATATATTCACTCAAAAGATCCATCAAACATGATACGCCACAGGGGCACACAAAATCATCAGATAAATAATAAACTCCCAAAAGCCCCGGTGTTACGTATCAGAGCATCCCTACTACTCGCCACAAACCAAGCTAGCTATACACCTAGATTATCTGTACTTCCGAAGAAGCACAGACCACAACAAAAGCAAAGGGGTGAGAAATCACGATCAAAATACAATGGTAATAATGTACATGAATAAAAGGCAGTAACACACAATTTCCAGCTCACACACATCAACCCGAACCTACCG